GCTAAGGGAATCATAAGTGGTGGCAGGGTCTTCGCTCTTCGCGAAGAAGTGCCCTCGAAAGGCTTCGGGCATAGCCCGGTAGAAGAGGGCAACCAAACTGGATGCCAGTGACACCATGGTCAGGTACAGCCACTAATTCATCCATTGTGCTCTTGAGTGCCCTGGCACTTTTCCACTGACGAGAGTGGATCGTCTGCAGCCTGTCTGAGGCTTTAACACTACGAGCGACATCAGCAAATCGCTCGCGCAGCAACTTCAGGAAATCGATGAGGGGAGTGAACGACGAGTACGCAACTGCATCATCATTGCAGTTGGCAGCACGAACCAGGGACCTTACGAAGCTGGCGGCCTCATCTCTAAGCGCGTGGATCGCAATTAGAACATGCTGATCCGGGGAGACCTGTTGCAGATGCACATAAGTCTTAACATTGGCCTCCCAATTGTCAAAGTTCTCTTCCCGTTTTCCACTGTAGGAATCAGGGAATTTGACCTTTACCGGCTCCCGGCGAGGACGTGCTTCCTCTTCCTTGGGAGTTGCGGCCTTGACGCCTTCAATGGCGCCAGCACAAAACCGCTCAGTCTTGTCGAGGCGATGGCCCACCTCGGTTCCTACAGCTCCCAAAATCCCAATCGTATTGAACGCACAACTCCTACTGAAGTCATACTGCTCTGCCTGAATTCGCGCTAAGCGTGCAACGTTTCGGGCTATGACCTCCATTTTCTTTGGGAGATCAGCCTGGGCGGCTAATTGCTCTTCTATCTTTTTTACCTCCTCCAATTCTTCCGCCGCATCTACTGCCGCGTCCACTCTCCTCTTCTTGTCCCTCATCACTGCCTGTTTCCACTCCATCCTCTTCTCATCTTCCATCGCCTGCCGCTTTATGACATCTTCTTCTGCGTCCCAAGCTCTCATAGCGGCTTCCTGGTCATCCTTGGGGATATACATCGCCACTTCTTCTTCTTCGCCCAGGGATAAGTTGGCGACCCACTATGAAAAATCCGTTTTTCCATCTCATCATCTTTGTCGCCACTGTACTGCCCCCTCTTCCTTTGTAGTGGCGTTTCATCTTCCTCCTCTTCCTCTTCCACCTCTTTCAGCTTCTCTTCTTCTTCTTTCTTTATTCTCTCCTTCTCTCTGGCCATCTCTTCCTCTATTTTTTTCAACTTGGCCGCCTGCTACTCCTGTAGGGCCTTCTTCTTGGCCTCTTTCTTCTCTTTTCTTTCCCTCAGAACGGCGGCCATCTTCTCCTCCTCCTTCGTATATGGCTTGGTGGAGGCACCACCCCGGGTGTCTACTCTACACGTGAAGGTGTGCCAGAACCCCAGGGGAAAGAGGAGACGCCACAGGGTCCCCCAAAGGGAAAAACCAACGAGCATACATTGGATAGTCATCCTTTGGTCAACCTTTGGTCAACCCTCTGGTCAACCTTTGGTCAACCCTCTGGCCAACGCCCGGTCAACCTTCAATCAACCCTCTGGTCAACCTTTGGTCAACCCTCTGGTCAACCCTTCACCTCGGCTATGGCTGCCGGCACCTTCACCTTCGTCACCCGCGTCACTTTCTTCCCCTTCCTTCACCTTCTTCTTCCTCACTGTCATTCTTCTGCTATTTCCTTTTTTTTTTTGTGTGCACCCCCAGCTATGTCTGTCTCCTTCTTTGATAGCCTCCTTCCACACTTCTCTCTCTCTCCTCAGTCCCTCCTTCTATGTCCTCCCTCTCTTTCTCCTTCGGTACCCTGTGTTGATGCTCCGCGGCTATGGCCGCTGTCTTCCTTCTCCACTGGACTATGCAACTCGCCTCACAGGTAAGTGACAACCAATCTTGGATCGCTCATCTCTCTCTCTCTCTCTCTCTCCCGCCGTAGCGGTATCTTCAGCGCAGCAGGTAATAACCCAATCTTGTATCTCTCACCTCTCTCTCTCTCTCTCTCTCTCTCACTCAACCTTCTTCTTCGTCGTGGTCCTCTTGATGCAGGTGCGCGGCGGCTTCTTCAACCGAAGGTCCCCTATGGCGGACTATCTTCTCCAGCGGCCACCTCAGCTATGGCACCTCACCCTGCGCACGACGGCGAGCGTGGAACAGCGGGTACCTGCTCCGATAACAGTGCAATCAGACTCAACTCAAACACCCTCTTCATGCATGTAAACAGCGATACAGCAAACTGGCGACCTGCGCCCAAACAGTACTCAGAGATATCGCAACCAGATAAGAGTTCTCTTGCAATTGGCTATGGYGGCTGTGCGCCCAAACTACTCACTGTTCACACTCTGGATCACCCTGGATGTCCCACGCACATCACTCTGAGCACTCACACAGTACACACACACTGCACTCTACACTAAGCTATGGCAGYTATGGCTGCCGCTACCTATCGCTATGGCTACACTGCTTCACTCTTGCCCACTTCGTCTTCGGGCCTACTGCAGACCTCCTCGCACAAGCTGCTGTGGCAGCGCTTCCGCATGGCTTCCGCAGGAATGAATGAATGGCTGGGCGCAGCCTCTTGATTTATACTTCWGTGATGCGTTGGTCTGCCCTGTAACCCCTGGCCCATGGTGCACACAGTCCCAGACGGTACTTGCTTKACTGGACCGGACTGGGTGGACTGGGACTGCTGACTGTACGMGGTGGACTGCCACCACTTGACCACTTGCCTCTGTCTAACGTAGGCTGACTCCGAAAGGCCACTTCTAGAAACCTCTATCTTGGCCTTTCGGTACTGTAGCAGCTACGACTTTGCCCTTTCAGGTAAGTAGCAGCTACGACCTTGACCCTTCAGACAGTCTACAGCTACGACCTCTGGACTGTCTAGACTCCTACCCGACAGATCCTGTGACCTACGAAATCCAACCTACCACTGGCGGTCCTACAGGTCGCAGGTTCAACTCTACGGGTTGACACCGATACTGTACACAGGTAAGGTGGGGAACTAGGGATCGAGCCCTGGGATCTGCATCAGCTACTGCAAACCGGTGAATACTGTTTCACCTTTTACCTCCTTCTATCTATATATAGATCCTTCCATCCTCTCTTCATCTGCTGGGACATTGCCAATACCTTCCACATACTCTCTCCTTCTGCCCCCTGTTCCCTCCCCTTCTGCCTTCATTGTAACTTGTCGATGCATAACTCTTCCCATGAAACTCTTCCTCTACGAAAAGTGACAGTGTTATGACCCAGGCCAATTTCGAGATAGACATCCACCGGAAAGTACAATGCCATCCAATTGCAGAAAGAAATGAATGAACTTGAGAGGAGAGAGAGAGGATTAGAAGAAGTAAGAAAGAAAGAAGAAGAAGAAGATGTACACCAGCAAAGACAATGACAAGGCTCTTCTTCTTCGCCCAACAATCTCCTCCTCCTTATCTCCCCCTTCTCTTATTCATACAAGAAATAATAGTACAATGTTGAATGACTGATCCAGAATCAATGTCTGAGTCCCTCTTCTACTGCAGGTATCACTTAAGGTCCACCATAGCCATGGCCGCCTCTCCCACTCTTCACTCTCATAGGCCGAGGCTATGGCGGACAACTGAGCTCTGCTCAGATGCCCAAAGGACAACCCAAAGCAGCTATGGCTGCTCTATCTCAGGCCGCCATGCCTGACCCTGCCTCAAAGCTTCTTGGTGTAGCTCTCCCCAGCTGGGGACTCCCTGCTGCAGCGCCCACCAAGGTGATGAAGTTGGCTGCCACCATAGCCAGGTAAGTACCCCTGGCGCTCCTCCCCCTTCCTTCCTTCTTCCTCCTCCTTCCTCCCCAGCAGCGCTGCTCCAGCCAGCGCTCCACCAGTGTGTCGCCAAACTTGCACACCGAAAAAGAGGCCGGACTCTCCGCGCGGCCAGAAGATATAGCGGCCTGCTTTGCCTCTTGGGCGGTGACTTCCAGGCCGCTCGGCCTCCCAAGCAACCGGTACCTCCTCCCTTTCGGAGGGAAACATCATTGCAGACTCTGATATTGCCCGTACAGGCCCTAGACCCAGACTGGTTGGACTGATATCTGCCTAGACCTAACCTACAACTACTGGGCCTCTAAAAATGCCACTTTTGTCTTGTTCTGCTCGGCCTCCGGTACCTGCACATCTACCCCTTCCAGGTGCGGTACTGGCCTACCCGCTACTTGAGTGTTTTTCCCCCGCTGCAACCCCTCAATGTCACGGCCACAGGTAAGTACCGGCCCTGAGGGCCCAACGAACGAGCAAGTGCCCTGACGGGCCACACACATACTCRTGCCAACCAGCACTCAGACAGGCACGGTCACACACACACCCAGGCCAACCAACACTCAGACAGGCATGGTCACACACACACTCAAGCCATCCAGCACTCAGACAGACATGCAGTCCAGCAAGCGTGCACACACAGACTTAGTAGCAAGCGGGAAACTCAGCAGGGCATTCAGTCTATGGGCAAAACTCAGAAATCAGCTGTGTGTTTCAGTCCACGTATGGACGGGTCATCACAACAGTACCTTCTGTCAAATTTTCAGAAGAACTGCTTCTGCTACCAACGCTGCCAAGATCTTTCCACCACCAACCAATACTTTGCAAGATAGTCCTGCATGACTTTCAGGATGGGAGTACCAGACGTCGGCTGTGAGCGCTTTATGGAAATCTGACAAGCTCAAGTTGAGAAGGAAAGTTCAGAAAATTCATACTCAAATTTTTAACTGGAGTTGAGAAGGAAGGTTTAGAGTACTAGATCCTCAACTTTCAAACTCCATCCTGTTACTTGAGGAGGGTTCAGAAAATAGATCCTCAAATTGCATCTTTATATGTGGAAGTTTGAAACTGTTAGTTGAAAAGGAAGGTTCACAGAACAGATCCTCAAATTTCTAACTTCGTATGTGTAATACTGACATTACAGCATTCAATTCTTGGCAATGAACTGCACCACCAGCATTGATTTCATTGGAGACATTGGCTTCACCACAGACATTAATTTCTCGCATGACAGACACAAGGTGCCAGCCGATGCATTCACCATTGTGGGGACCACTGTGTAGCAGTGAAGCATTAGAAATACGGGAGTAATGCTTTGTAGTGATTCATTGATTTTCTTGAGAATATACGTACGTTGATTGCAGCACATTTCCCCAATAGTGAGGATTCTCTGCGTACTTTGGATCAGATAGATTTGTGGCAAGCCCCATGCTCCAGCTTCGATCAACCCGCTTCATCAGTCGCGGTGCTACCTGGACAGGAAAGACCAAGGAACGCCGTCATTTCATTACACACCTCCTCCTGATTTCACCCGCACTGCTCTGAAGTCCTTGCTCTGTTCGATGTTGCAGCATAGGCAAGCATATCAAAAGTGCTTATCCATGACAAGTGCGGTACCTCCTCATATACAAAACCATGGGAAGAAAACTGGCATTTAAACCACCAGTACTTGGCCCAGCTACCAAAGCCGAGCCTCCCAGCCCCCTGTGCGCCAAGTCCTACCGAACCGCCGTCGGTCTTTTTTGTTTTCATTTTGGCTGTGGCCTCCAGCCAATGCGGTCCGGTAGGCCGAAGCCCGAATGCCGCGGTGCGTTAATGGGAAAGCGCCGCGGCCAATAGCTGGGCCAAGTACTGGTGGTTTAACCCCATCCCCCTCTTCCCACGCCTCTCTGTCTGTCTGCCTGCCTGCCTCTGCCTCTGTGTCTGTCTGTCAGTTTCTCTCTCCGTCTGCCTCTCTATGCATCTGTCAACCTCCCTCGCTCTCTCCTCCTATACATGCAAATGCAACCAGCACAGCCCCACGATAATAATATTGAGGCCATCTGCTGGAAAGGGCCATTCCTAGTTTAATCTGCAGAAAATGTTTGGTGCTGCAAAAAGCCAGCATCTCTGCAGAAAAGTTCGGGCCTCCCGGTATCCAGGTGGAAAAGTTCTGCCTTCTCAGGTCTCGCGAGCCTGAATCCAGCTAGCTGACCACTGAACCAGGTTCTAGTCTGGTTCAGTGGATGGTTCAGTTTCCAGGTACTGCCACCTAGGAAAGGAATTCCCTCAATTTCGCATGCAGCTGAACATTGAAGGCATAGGTAGGTAGGTGGGTAGGTGGGTAGGTGGATGGGAAAGTAGGTTGGGTAGGTGGGGTCGGTAGGTCGATGGGTAGGTGTGGGGTAGTTGGTAGGTGGGTGGGTAGGTAGGTGTAGGTAGGTAGGTGTAGGTAGGTAGGTGGGTAGGTAGGTAGGTAGGTGGGTAGGTAGGCGGGTAGGTAGGTGGGCAGGCGGTGGGTCGGTGGGTAGGCAGCTGCATGGGGAGGTAGGTCAGTACCTAGGAAGGTAACTAGGTAGATATGTAAGTGGGAGAGTAGGTCGATAGACGGGTGGGTAGGTTGGTGGGTGGGTGTAGGTCGGTAGGTAGGTAGGTCCGTACGTACGTATGAACATATGTAGATAAGTTATTATCATGGCCGATTCCGAAATGCAAATACACAAGGAGAGACAATGCCACCCAATTGCAAAAGAAACGAAAGAATTGAGAGGAGAACGAGACAAAGGAAGAAGAAGAAGGAAAGAAGAAAAACAAAATGCACACCAGCAAAAGACCAATTACGAATCCCCCTTCACTTGCCAATCAATCTCCTCCTCCTTATCTCCCCCCTTATTACAATAAACAATAATAATAACAATGGAGGGCTGAACCAGAACCAATGGACGAATCTCTCTCTTACTGCCAGGACACCAAGAGGTCCACCATAGCCGTGATCTCCACCTTCCTCCACCTTGGACAGGTGATGGATATGGCCGGCTACTAGGGGCCCTGCCCAGATGTTCAAAAGACAATGCAAAAGCCGCTATGTCTTCTACACCTCGGGCCACCATGCCTGACTCTTCCCTGAAGCCTTCTTGATGCAGTGCTAACCCACTTTAGGCCTTCCAGATGCAGCGCCTACCAACGAGATAAAGATGGCGTCCACCATAGCCAGGTAAGTACCCCTGGCCACTCTCCTTGCTAGTCACCTTGTTCCTCCTCCTCCTACCTGGACCAGTCCACCATAGCCAAGGTGGATGGCCTGGCGCTCCTCCCAGCGCTCCACACTAGCGCAAATGAGGAGGAGCTACTCGCTCCTCCTAAAGATATAGCGGCGGCCTCCAAGCAACCAGTACCTCCTCCCTTCCAGAGAGGAACATCATTGCAGATCTGATATCGTCCGCTTCAGGCCCTAGACTCAGACTCCAGGACTGGTACCTAGACCTAGGCCTACCGGACTCTCTAAAATTCACACGGCCTCTAAAGGTACTAACTTTTTGTCTTCTTCTACTCAGCCTGCCGCTACTTACTACGCGCCTAGCCTACCACTACTTGAGTGTGCCCCTAAGCTACCCCATTGGCCACTTGAGTGTTTCCCAGCTGCAACCCTCAAAGTACCGGTCCCTCGGGCCTCCCAAACAAACATGTGCCCTGGCCTGCCACACACACACTCAGACAGAGGCACACGAAGCGGCAAGCACGCACACACACAGACTTAGAAACTAAGCAAAAAGCGGGAACCTCACCAAAGCAGAAACTCCAGCGGCAAAACTCAGAAATCAGCAGTGTTCTCAGTCCGTGTTTTTGTTTGTTTGTTTGTTTGTTTGTTTGTTTGTTTGTGTGTGTTATAGATTTTCCTCACAACAGCCCCAATTGCACCCCGATGCATATATTCAGAATCAAAGCAGTCTTTGTCCTATTGTAGACAACAAGAGCATTTGAGATGAGACAGCCCAACATATTAAAGCAAATTTATAATAATTTGGTTGTCCTTGGGGTACCCCTTCCATTTGTTCTTGCAGCTCCCCTCTTACTGTGCCTCTTGCGTACAAGGCTGCCACATGCCCACATCCCCGTGTGCCTTCACGACCCACTTGCAAGTCATTTCAGGAGGCAGAAAAAAGGGAAGGTATGCTCCTGTGTACTTCTCTTCAGACCTTCATACTCCTGTTCATTTCACTTCAGACCTTCAGCTTATACTTCGTCTTTGTGTCCGTCCTTCATCTTCTTACTTCCGTTCATTTCATTTCTGATCTTCATATCGTCTGTTCTCTTAACGATGCTCATTCGTATGTATTCATTAGTAGCACAAAGGGAGTGGCGGGGAGGGTGGAGGGAAAGGGATAGAGGGCGGAGTTCTATAGGAGTACGGGGCACCGAACGGCAGGGGAGAGGTGAATGACGAACTTCACAGAATTCTAAACATTCACCGCTGGAACAGACTACTCTATGATGGCACAGGGTTGCAAATTTATTTATTTATTTATTTATTTATATTTTTTTTTGCTAGGCAAACCGTAGGCAGAGAGGGAGAGAGGACAACAAACGAGGGGCTGTGACAAACTGTTTCGTGGGAGTTTCACCGACTCATCAGGAGGCTGAACCCTCAATGGTCTGCAGAATCCCCTAACTGATTACACTGTAAGTGATAATCCAACTTAACCCGGTTGTGGTTAAGAGGTTCTGGTTAAGCAGCATCGACTGCCCGACAACTGATACGAGCTGCCCGGTAAAACGTAGGCAGAGAGGGAGAAGAGGACAACAAACGAGGGGCTGTGACAAACTGTTTCATCGGAGTTTTGCCGACTCATCAGGAGGTTGAACCCTCAACACCCCCTAACTGATTACACTGTAAGTGATAATCCACCTTAACCCCGGCTGTGATTAAGCATCAACGACTGCCCAACAACTGATACCCTGAGGTGGGCACCGGCCATATGTATATTTTATTAGTGTGTGTGTGTGTGAGTGTGCGTGTGCGTGTGTGTGTGTGGTCTTATAAAATATCACCACAACTTCCCTGAAACGATTTCACCCAGCCACCGGACAGTTGCAGACATTAGGACATGATCCCTACACCTATCCCCCTAACCCTGTACGATGACCCTGTAGCTCTATGTGAGATTTGAACCCACACCCTGTCCTTAAACCCTGTAGGTTAGTTAGTAGGGTCGTTAGTCTATCGGTAGGTCTTGATCCATAGATCTTTGTGTTAGCAGTTTAGCATGATACCGTTAGGCTTAGTTAGTCAGTCCGTACRCTTCTAGAAGGTYGTAGACCCAGCGGACTTGATCCCTACACCTATCCCGCTAACCCTGTACAATGACCCTGTAGCTCTATGTGAGATTTGAACCCACGYCCTGTCCTTAAACCYTGTAGGTTAGTTAGTAGGGTCGTTAGTCTATCGGTAGGTCTTGATCCATAGATCTTTGTGTTAGCAGTTTAGCATGATACCGTTAGGCTTAGTTAGTCAGTCCGTACGCTTCTAGAAGGTTGTAGACCCAGCGGACTTGATCCCTACACCTATCCCGCTAACCCTGTACAATGACCCTGTAGCTCTATGTGAGATTTGAACCCACGCCCTGTCCTTAAACCCTGTAGGTTAGTTAGTAGGGTCGTTAGTCTATCGGTAGGTCTTGATCCATAGATCTTCGTGTTAGCAGTTTAGCATGATACCGTTAGGCTAAGTTAGTCAGTCTGTAGGCTTCTAGAAGGTCGTAGACCCAACCTACAATGTCCGAGTCAAGAAGTCAGCCGGTTCACCCTGCACAGTTAGCAAGTACCAGTGTGCGTGTGCGTGTGTGTGTGTGTGTGTGTGTGTTATAACATATCACCACAACTTCCCTGAAACGGTTTCACCCGGTCACCCAACAGTTGCAGACATTAGGACTCCATCCCTACACCTCCCTCTAACCCTGTACAATGACCCTGTAGCTCTATGTGAGATTTGAACCCGCGCCTTGTCCTTAAACCCTGTAGGTTAGTTAGTAGGGTGTTCATTTGTCGGTAGGTCTTGATCCATAGATCTTCGTGTTAGCAGTTTAGCATGATACCATTACGCTTAGTTAGTCTATAGGCTCCTAGAAGGCCGTAGACCCAGCCTACCATGTCTGAGTCAAGAAGTCAGACGGTCCACCCTGCACAGTCAGCAAGTACCAATGGGCGTCCCACGTGGTTTGGGCCTATCAGGCCCACATGGTTTGGGGGCCCAAGCCCACGCGGTTTGGGGCCCCTAGGCCCACGCGGTTTGGGCCATTCAGGCCCACGTAGTTTGGCCCAGGGCTGGGGCAGACCAGACCACCTGCGACCCGATAAAAATAAAGAGGCAACGTGCAGCCATTTGCAATCAGACTCGACTTCACTCGCTTCAGCATGCGTGCAAACAAATGACGAACAGACTTGGCGCATTGCGCCCACACAAAGCTTAGAGATAAGACGTGGCCAGGCACACAAC